GCACTCTTCATGATGCGGGAAAACAAATCCCACGTTGATTTTAAAAAAAATAATCAAAATATACTTAAAAGTAAGCTGCTAGGTGCATATTTTTATTTTCAGAGTAAATCTATCAGAAGAAGTAGATATTCTTTATTGTCAAGACACCTATGTACAAGGTTTGCGAAGGAAATGATAGTTAATGCCTGAAATATATAAGATTAACAAAACATTACAATAATTTTGATGATAACCGGTTTACATTGGACTGGTCAAGTTTCACTTCTAATTTTTTCCTCCAAAATAGATTTTTGACATCTCTCATGAACTCGACAAGTCTCGTCCATTGCGACTCAATGTGCGTGCAGTGAATATTCAATAAATAATAAACTCGCAAATTATTTATATGATACTCTAACTGGATTAAAAGACCCTTACAGGAGGTGAAATTCAAAATGATAGGCCTACCATGATATTTCAATGTACTGTCTTTATTGAGGATACACCTATCAACATCCCTCACGGCATCTATATCTTATCTCTCTGGTTCTCTCTCCCCCTCTCTCTTTCTCTTTACGTCTCATTCTGCCTTCTCTCTTTCTTTCTGTCTCTCTCCCTCTCTCTGTCTCTCTCCCTCTCTCTGTCTCTCTCCCTCTCTCTGTCTCTCTCCCTCTCTCTGTCTCTCTCCCTCTCTCTGTATATCTGATTCCGTATCCCTCTTGAACGAATCCCTTCCTCCCTCCTTCGAATTCACTCTCGTCATGGCTCATTGCATGAATAATTATGATATGTGTATGTCGTGCACGATGCATTGCACTTTTGGTCGCCATGGCGTTCATTCTTTCTCATCTCGTTTCTATTTATTACCAATGCTTTTCTACTTTTTTAAAATATTTTGTTGTTGATACATTTTAGCATTGCATATTGGCCTCGATTAGGGGAAATTGTGTTTGAATAATTGATTCCCATCACTGTGCCTACATTATTATTTGCTTGCGTTTTCTCAAACACTGCACACATCAGTCTATGATCACCTAATTTTTATCCTAATCATAGTAGAATTAAATTCGGTTTTCAACAATTATATTAAAAGAGGTGTTCAAGCCATGGCTCATTGATTGGATACTGATGATAATGTCGTGCACGATGTATTTCACTTCTGGTCGCCATGGAGTTCATTCTTCCTCATTTCGTTTCTATTTGTTACCGATGTGGAGAAATAATGGTATGATTTAGCCAGGGTGGTGGTTTAGTTAGAAAGAGAGAAAGAACATTCCCTTTTTAAAGGGGTATGGTATGTTTTCTTTTCTTTTCTTTCGAGGGGGGGGGGGGGGGTGGGTGGGGTAGCTGTAAGCAAAACCAATGAATCATTTTATTTGTGAATGAAAGGGGCTTTTAATAGTGAAATTCAAAATGTTATAGAACTACCATGATATTTCTAGGTATAACGTCTCTATTCAGGATACATCTATCAACGTCCCTCGCGGCTCTCTGGTTCTCTTCCTCTTCCCCTTTCTCTTTCTCGCTCTGTCTCATTGTCTCTGTCTATCTGTCCCTCTTTCTCTCAGTATTCTCTATCTCTTTCTGTCTCCCCCTCTTTCTATAGTTTATATCTGTCTCTGTGTCTCTCTAGCTCTTCCACCTGCGAATCCCTTCCTCCCTCTTTCGAATTCCCTCTCGTCATCTCCCTCCCATCTTCATGCTCTCCCACCTTCACTTTGGTCTTTTATTTTTTATCTTTATATCATTTATTATCTTGTCTTATTTCGTTCAACCTTTGTTATTACTCTTAGTCTCCTTCTTTTTTCTTCTTCTTTTCTTCTTCTCGTGGGTCTTCCTCTTATTGGAGGCCTTTTTCTTTTTCCCCTTTTTTTCTCAGCTTAAAACATAATTATTTATAAATGAAACATCTGATTTTGTTGATATAAGTATTAGCTCGCCCTTGATTCGAACTTCATCGTTGTTATATTTTTTTTAAATTATTTATTTGAATAATTTAGTGACGTCGTCAACTATGGAGGCCATATTCGTTCTACTTTGTTTTCGCTTGTATTGTTGTTGGCCTCGAATGGCGAAAATTGTTTTTGAATAATTGATACACATCACTATGCGTAAATTATTATTTGCTTGCGCTTTCTCATCAATGCAATTATCATTTTATGATCGCCTACTTATCCTAAAAATAGTAGAAAAAATTCGCTTTTCAACAATAATAGCGGTGTTCGTACCACGGCTCATCGAATAAATAATGATTCATTGCACTTCTGGTTTCCATGGTAATCATTCTGCTCATCTCATTTCTATTCGTTACCAATGCTAAGAAATAATGGTTTTATTTTGGGGGGTATTTCATATCTTTCTTTTTTTTTTCTTTCGGGGGAGGGGGGGGGGGGGGGGGGACGGCCGCAAGTAATACAAAATGAATCATATTATTTGTATACGATTCAGTGGAAATGATTATACAATATTTAGATTTGCACTGTTTGCCTAAATGAATTATGTAACAGAATGAATCCCCCAAACATAATGTCGATAATCAAAGAGCATGAACTAAACTTGCTCTATCACTACTTTGTATTTATTTAGTGTGTATTTTCTGTGTCTATATTTTGAATGTTTCTTCACAGAAAGACATTGAAAGTTTATTCACTATTTGATAAAGCTATTAACCCATGAACATACAGAACAAACTACTGTTGGAAATTGTTCCTCTTTCCAACCTTCTTCCAACCGCATTAAGCATTATTTGGTTCGAAAACATATAATGCACAATCATAACAATGGATTCTCTCTTTTTAGGTGTAACACATGCTGTAAAAACAGCTTAATTTTAATAATTTCACAGCAACCAACTTCTCTCTTTTAGGTGTAACACATGCTGTAAAAACAGCTTAATTTTAATAATTTCACAGCAACCAACAGAAAAGCAGGAATAAGAGTAAAGAAAAACGTTTTGCATCGAAAGTCATATTTCTAAATGAAATGTAGTCTTGACCGATGCTGAGCATGTAGAGGCCTATATTATCCATACGAAAGCACTAAATGAATCCCACTCAAACATTTAAATAAACTGATGAAGGTATATTTATGTTCACACCGTAAACTGTATCAGAAGATTAGATCTTCGTCATCGTCAGTAACACCTATGAACAACACATTTGAATAAAATAAGTTATTAATATAATTATACTGAAATATTATGTACAAGTAGCGTATATGATTAACAAACAATTGATAGTGATTTTTTATACAAGTGTCTCTAATCGGTTTACTTACTTGAATAAATAATTCGATAGCTTCTGCTGTTCATGCATTCTCAAAATTTTACGAGACTGCATTCAAATTCCGTACATATTGTCATTGGGCTATTATAATGTTTCATGCTTTTGTGTGGCCAAGATATGAAACTCTTATTTATGAGTATGGACAAGATTGCAAGTATTTGAGCAAACATGATAATAGCCTATCACTTCAAAGAGTTTATATCATGCATACAGACTTGTTACTAACAATGTCTGAAAATTTCGGTTCGTATCTCGTGGTTTACATGGTTCCATTAATTTAATATTGGAAATCTAAACAGAATATAAAAGGAGCATATCAATTAAAATTAAAACCTCAACAAGACATAACATGAACAAGATAAGAACGTATCATTTTCATCGTTCCTCTAAAACAACCCCGATAACTTCAGCATTAGCCTATATTCTAGAAAATATATGCTGCAATACGTAGAAATGTGACTTTCAAGCATTCTTCCTTTAAGATGAGTTCACATCGGCATAAGTTTATCTACAGCGGGGCAGCTAGTGCCGGTATATACACAGTGCTGGAGAGCGAGAGATTGTAAAAGTCCGAAATTAAATATTCTACCAGCAATATTTACAACGCAATTTTCTTAAATTTGTAGGCACACTTTGTGTAGTTGATCGAACCCCCCACTTTTATGACATCGAAAAACCTCGGCGTTTAAAAAAAATGACATATCTTATTGATTGATTGATTTTATTCGCCAAGCCTCAACATACAACAATATGTAAGAATAACAGATAAAAATTAAGTCAGCTTGAACAAACCCCATGAAAGCTTATTTCCAGTGGGGTCCCCGACATATACACAATAGACCAGTTCACGGTTAGCACATTACTGCAATGACCCCGAATATCCACAGATCTTAAAACCATGAAGAGGTCCCACTTTGTACATTTTGAAATAATCACTCCTACAGCGATGGAGGTGCTATAGAAATAGCCTTTGTTTCCCCTTTTCAAAGAATACTCCACCTGTGTATCATGGAGTGCACTGAATGTGCATGAATGTATAATGTTACATAACTTTCATGAGCACGAATCCAGTATTTCGTCTCCGTTATTTCAAAATTTGTTCTGCAATGACCTTTATCTGCTCAGCTCAGACTGCAACCGTGAACTGGCTTATTAATAAGTTAAAATCTTATTATTTACAAACAGATAAGAAAAAAAACTTATCAAAGATAATAATAACACAGAGCTCAGTGAATAAGCGCTGGTTGCCATTTATTCCACCCCCCCCCCCCCCTCAAAAAAAAAAATCTTCATCTGTCACATGATATAATACATATTCATTATCTCAAGACTTTTCTCAATATATTCATGACCTGGCCCAACCCAAAGACTATATGAATTAAACTTATCGACTACAAAATGTTTACCTAGAGTTTATGCGTATCCGTCCAAGAGAAGAATTTCATTAAAGATATCGGAATCTCAAAAGATTTTTATTTTTTATTTTGTTATACTTACCATTGGAACAATACTAGTTCACCTTTACAGTGGATGAATGTACATAATCTACGAAAGAGGGTTCTAAAATATCACATCACTCAGATCGAGCAGTCAACTCCAGCATCTTCATAATGATGGCAGTCGTGGTTGTCCCATCCGCCATTACTGCAATCAGTCAACCTGGATTCATTTCCCGAACAGCCGACACCATCGAGGTATATCGGGCCAGATCCTGTCCGTATGTTGCACCACTCCTGGCTACACCAACATTGCCTGAGTATCCAAGCTGTCGACAAACCACCCTCGCATCAGAGTCATCCCAACTGTCATCACAGACTGTCTCCCCCATTGTCCTTCATGGAAGCTGATCTCAACCCTGCCTTCATCTGAACTGTAACCGTCAACCAGCCGGAATAAGACCTCTATACAGTGCGTCCAAGAAAAAACGAAAACGAGAATTATCAATGTTTTATTATAAATAATCACAATTAATTTATAATAATAAATGACACATATCTGTAAATCTTAGATCCTCCTCTTTCATTTGATGCAACTCATATGTTGCATATTTCACGCATGAGTGATTAAAATGAATTTGAAGAGAGGAAACCAAAGAGTCATTGGCGGGACGAAATCTACATTTCAAAGAGAAAATCACATTTCCAGAAAGTTGAGTATCTGCCTTCCATATGACACTCAGTCAGGAAAAATGAGCTAGGAATAACAAAGTTCTGTTTGTTTAAAGTATTGATTGCATTTCCATAATTTTATTAAACGAATTCGTTTTCACTGGCTGCCTGCCGTAGCAACAAACGGAATTAACAAAAGACTTAACTCCGTTTCATTGACAATCAGCCGTAGTCGAAAGACATTATGCATGGCTGATTGTCAACGATAATTCTCGGTTTCGTTTTTTCTGGGACGCACTGTATAGTATGAGATTCTCCCAAAACAGTTACCCTATTTTACCCGTATGATTTCACCCCTCATTGCCAAAAAAAGGTCAAAAGCTCGACCGTATAGTCGTCGGGTAGCCCCGAGAGTCCCAAAACTAACCCCAAAGCCGGGTCGACTTCATGCCATGTACAATCTAAAATCTTTGCCAGTAGAAAGTTATGAGACTGAACATTACTTTAACACACACAAATAATATAAAAACAGACAAAATTTTCTTCGGTAAGGGATGTCTGATGCCTCCTAAAAACTTGTATCAATTTTTCTTTTTAGGTTCAAGGACCACATTTTGTCATGAGAAAAGTTGCGACTTTATTACAAAAACATAAGAATTGAAAAAATAAATAATGGTTTTCTGCCCCCCCCCCCCCCCCCCCCCCCCCCCCCAAAAAAAAAATGCTCTGGTTCTAGTTAGACAAAGTGTGCGATTAAAGATTAAGTGAGGTTCTGGTCATGCGATTGCATTGTGAAAGAAACGTGTGGAATCGATCAGAAAAGGTTAAGACAATTGAAGAGCCATGCTTTCATGGAACATAATTGTTATCTGATGTTCTTCTACACTTGCATAATGACAATGATAACGCTCACAAATTATTTTTCACCTATTCCCAGAACTCAACTTCTCTTTAAATCGAAAGAAGAAGTCCCCATGAAGATATTAGGAGCTCTCTGCATCAGTGATGGAGATATTTACACAAAATATTGGAATGATAAGTTCGCCTATACGTTGGAAAAATGTGCATGTATCTACGAACGGGGGTTCTTTGTATCTACAAGAAAAGGCACTGTAAATATCCTAAGTATGAGTGGTCGCAACCTACCTCCACAGTAAACCCCAGCATCTTCATAATGATGGCAGTCGTGGTTGTCCCATCCGCCATTACTGCAATCAGTCAACCTGGATTCATTTCCCGAACAGCCGACACCATCGAGGTATATCGGGCCAGATCCCTGTCCGTATGTTGCACCACTCCTGGCTACACCAACATTGCCTGAGTATCCAAGCTGTCGACAAACCACCCTCGCATCAGAGTCATCCCCAACTGTCATCACAGACTGTCCCCCATTGTCCTTCATGGAAGCTGATCTCAACCCTGCCTTCATCTGAACTGTAACCGTCAACCAGCCGGAATAAGACCTCTATACAGTGCGTCCAAGAAAAAACGAAAACGAGAATTATCAATGTTTATTATAACTTAATCACAATTAATTTAATAATAAATGACACATATCTGTAAATCTTAGATCCTCCTCTTTCATTTGATGCAACTCATATGTTGCATATTTCACGCATGAGTGATTAAAATGAATTTGAAGAGAGGAAACCAAAGAGTCATTTGGCGGACGAAATCTACATTTCAAAGAGAAATCACATTTCCAGAAAGTTGAGTATCTGCCCTTCCATATGACACCTCAGTCAGGAAAAATGAGCTAGGAATAACAAAGTTCTGTTTGTTTAAAGTATGATTGCATTTCCATAATTTTTATAAACGAATTCGTTTTCACTGGCTGCCTGCCGTAGCAACAAACGGAATTAACAAAAGACTTAACTCCGTTTCATTGACAATCAGCCGTAGTCGAAAGACATTATGCATGGCTGATTGTCAACGATAATTCGGTTTCGTTTTTTCTGGGACGCACTGTATAGTATGAGACTCTCCCAAAACAGTTACCCTATTTACCCGTATGATTTCACCCCTCATTGCCAAAAAAAGGTCAAAAGCTCGACCGTATAGTCGTCGGTTTAGCCCCGAGAGTCCCCAAAACTAACCCAAAGCCGGGTCGACTTCATGCCATGTACCTCAATCTAAAATCTTTGCCAGTAGAAAGTAATGAGACTGAACATTACTTTAACACACACAAATAATATAAAAACAGACAAAATTTTCTTCGGTAAGGGATGTCTGATGCCTCCTAAAAACTTGTATCAATTTTTCTTTTTAGGTTCAAGGACCACATTTTGTCATGAGAAAAGTTGCGACTTATTACAAAAACATAAGAATTGAAAAATAAATAATGGTTTTCTGCCCCCCCCCCTCCCCAAAAAAAAAAAAAAAAATGCTCTGCTTCTAGTTTAGACAAAGTGTGCGATTAAAGATTAAGTTGAGTTCTGGTCATGCGATTGCATTGTGAAAGAAACGGTGTGGAATCGATCAGAAAAGGTTAAGACATTTGAAGAGCCATGCTTTTCATGGAACATTAATTGTTATCTGATGTTCTTCTACACTTGCATAATGACAATGATAACGCTCACAAATTATTTTTACCTATTCCCAGAACTCAACTTCTCTTTAAATCGAAGAAGAAGTCCCCATGAAGATATTAGGAGCTCTCTGCATCAGTGATGAAGATATTTACACAAAATATTGGAATGATAAGTTCGCCTATACGTTGGAAAAATGTGCATGTATCTACGAACGGGGGTTCTTTGTATCTACAAGAAAAGGCACTGTAAATATCCTAAGTATGAGTGGTCGCAACCTACCTCCACAGTAAACCCCAGCATCTTCATAATGATGGCAGTCGTGGTTGTCCCATCCGCCATTACTGCAATCAGTCAACCTGGATTCATTTCCCGAACAGCCGACACCATCGAGGTATATCGGGCAGATCCTGTCCGTATGTTGCACCACTCCTGGCTACACCAACATTGCCTGAGTATCCAAGCTGTCGACAAACCACCCTCGCATCAGAGTCATCCCAACTGTCATCACAGACTGTCCCCCATTGTCCTTCATGGAAGCTGATCTCAACCCTGCCTTCATCTGAACTGTAACCGTCAACCAGCCGGAATAAGACCTCTATACAGTGCGTCCAAGAAAAAACGAAAACGAGAATTATCAATGTTTTATTATAACTTAATCACAATTAATTTATAATTAATAAATGACACATATCTGTAAATCTTAGATCCTCTTCTTTCATTTGATGCAACTCATATGTTGCATATTTCACGCATGAGTGATTAAAATGAATTTGAAGAGAGGAAACCAAAGAGTCATTTGGCGGACGAAATCTACATTTCAAAGAGAAAATCACATTTCCAGAAAGTTGAGTATCTGCCCTTCCATATGACACCTCAGTCAGGAAAAATGAGCTAGGAATAACAAAGTTCTGTTTGTTTAAAGTATTGATTGCATTTCCATAATTTTATTAAACGAATTCGTTTTCACTGGCTGCCTGCCGTAGCAACAAACGGAATTAACAAAAGACTTAACTCCGTTTCATTGACAATCAGCCGTAGTCGAAAGACATTATGCATGGCTGATTGTCAACGATAATTCTCGGTTTCGTTTTTTCTGGGACGCACTGAATAGTATGAGACTCTCCCAAAACAGTTACCCTATTTTACCTGTATGATTTCACCCCTCATTGCCAAAAAAAAGGTCAAAAGCTCGACCGTATAGTCGTCGGGTTAGCCCCGAGAGTCCCCAAAACTAACCCCAAAGCCGGGTCGACTTCATGCATGTACCTCAATCTAAAATCTTTGCCAGTAGAAAGTAATGAGACTGAACATTACTTAACACACACAAATAATATAAAAACAGACAAAATTTTCTTCGGTAAGGGATGTCTGATGCCTCCTAAAAACTTGTATCAATTTTTTTTAGGTTCAAGGACCACATTTTGTCATGAGAAAAGTTGCGACTTTATTACAAAAACATAAGAATTGAAAAATAAATAATGGTTTTCTGCCCCCCCCCCTCCCCCCCCCCCAAAAAAAATGCTCTGCTTCTAGTTTAGACAAAGTGTGCGATTAAAGATTAAGTTGAGTTCTGGTCATGCGATTGCATTGTGAAAGAAACGGTGTGGAATCGATCAGAAAAGGTTAAGACATTTGAAGAGCCATGCTTTTCATGGAACATTAATTGTTATCTGATGTTCTTCTACACTTGCATAATGACAATGATAACGCTCACAAATTATTTTTTACCTATTCCCAGAACTCAACTTCTCTTTAAATCGAAGAAGAAGTCCCCATGAAGATATTAGGAGCTCTCTGCATCAGTGATGAAGATATTTACACAAAATATTGGAATGATAAGTTCGCCTATACGTTGGAAAAATGTGCATGTATCTACGAACGGGGGTTCTTTGTATCTACAAGAAAAGGCACTGTAAATATCCTAAGTATGAGTGGTCGCAACCTACCTCCACAGTAAACCCAGCATCTTCATAATGATGGCAGTCGTGGTTGTCCCATCCGCCATTACTGCAATCAGTCAACCTGGATTCATTTCCCGAACAGCCGACACCATCGAGGTATATCGGGCCAGATCCCTGTCCGTATGTTGCACCACTCCTGGCTACACCAACATTGCCTGAGTATCCAAGCTGTCGACAAACCACCCTCGCATCAGAGTCATCCCAACTGTCATCACAGACTGTCCCCCATTGTCCTTCATGGAAGCTGATCTCAACCCTGCCTTCATCTGAACTGTAACCGTCAACCAGCCGGAATAAGACCTCTATACAGTGCGTCCAAGAAAAAACGAAAACGAGAATTATCAATGTTTTATTATAACTTAATCACAATTAATTTATAATTAATAAATGACACATATCTGTAAATCTTAGATCCTCTTCTTTCATTTGATGCAACTCATATGTTGCATATTTCACGCATGAGTGATTAAAATGAATTTGAAGAGAGGAAACCAAAGAGTCATTTGGCGGACGAAATCTACATTTCAAAGAGAAAATCACATTTCCAGAAAGTTGAGTATCTGCCCTTCCATATGACACCTCAGTCAGGAAAAATGAGCTAGGAATAACAAAGTTCTGTTTGTTTAAAGTATTGATTGCATTTCCATAATTTTATTAAACGAATTCGTTTTCACTGGCTGCCTGCCGTAGCAACAAACGGAATTAACAAAAGACTTAACTCCGTTTCATTGACAATCAGCCGTAGTCGAAAGACATTATGCATGGCTGATTGTCAACGATAATTCTCGGTTTCGTTTTTTCTGGGACGCACTGAATAGTATGAGACTCTCCCAAAACAGTTACCCTATTTTACCTGTATGATTTCACCCCTCATTGCCAAAAAAAAGGTCAAAAGCTCGACCGTATAGTCGTCGGGTTAGCCCCGAGAGTCCCCAAAACTAACCCCAAAGCCGGGTCGACTTCATGCCATGTACCTCAATCTAAAATCTTTGCCAGTAGAAAGTAATGAGACTGAACATTACTTTAACACACACAAATAATATAAAAACAGACAAAATTTTCTTCGGTAAGGGATGTCTGATGCCTCCTAAAAACTTGTATCAATTTTTCTTTTTAGGTTCAAGGACCACATTTTGTCATGAGAAAAGTTGCGACTTTATTACAAAAACATAAGAATTGAAAAATAAATAATGGTTTTCTGCCCCCCCCCCCCCCCCCCCCCCCCCCCCCCAAAAAAAAAATGCTCTGCTTCTAGTTTAGACAAAGTGTGCGATTAAAGATTAAGTTGAGTTCTGGTCATGCGATTGCATTGTGAAAGAAACGGTGTGGAATCGATCAGAAAAGGTTAAGACATTTGAAGAGCCATGCTTTTCATGGAACATTAATTGTTATCTGATGTTCTTCTACACTTGCATAATGACAATGATAACGCTCACAAATTATTTTTCACCTATTCCCAGAACTCAACTTCTCTTTAAATCGAAGAAGAAGTCCCCATGAAGATATTAGGAGCTCTCTGCATCAGTGTTGAAGATATTTACACAAAATATTGGAATGATAAGTTCGCCTATACGTTGGAAAAATGTGCATGTATCTACGAACGGGGGTTCTTTGTATCTACAAGAAAAGGCACTGTAAATATCCTAAGTATGAGTTGTCGCAACCTACCTCCACAGTAAACTCCAGCATCTTCGTAATGATGGCAGTCGTGGTTGTCCCATCCGCCATTACTGCAATCAGTCAACCTGGATTCATTTCCCGAACAGCCGACACCATCGAGGTATATCGGGCCAGATCCCTGTCCGTATGTTGCACCACTCCTGGCTACACCAACATCGCCTGAGTATCCAAGCTGTCGACAAACTACCATCGCATCAGAGTCATCCCAACTGTAATCACAGACTGTCCCCCATTGGCCTTCATGGAAGATCTCAACCCTGCCTTCATCTGAGCTGTAACCGTCAACCAGCCGTATTCCTCCCTCAATTTCATCTTTCATAATAAATAGAACGAAGGAATAAGACGTCTAGTATAAGACTGTCCCAAAATAGTCACCCATTTTACCCGTAAGGATGTTGCGTTACGATAGTCGCTATAAAGAGTGACGTGTTTTTCGGGAGCTCCCTTTTTCGCACGCCTAGCTACGTGGCAGAAAGAAAAATCATCAGGGGGGAGGGTAAGAGGACAATTTTTTTTTTTCGTCTCGAAATTTGAAAATTTGACATTCTGTTCCGTTGTGGGGGGGGGGGGGGGGGTAAGGTCACCTTTTGTAGGTCAGCCATTGGCATAATTGTTTAATTTTTTAAAATTTTATTTTATAAAAAAAAATTTAAAAAAAAACTAAAAAAACTAAAAGGGGGGGTTTAAACCCACCCCCCCTGCATACGCGCCTGCTCGTACTACATCTCATCATCTCATTACCCCACTTGAGAAGAAGGGGAATGACTTAGAAGTCCGCAATTTGACTCATGAAACCCGTCTGCAGATGGCAGAGTTAGCTGAAAATAAACTGGAACGTTTTTCTCGGAGAAACAACTTTAGATTGTCGGAGTACCTTATTGCCCCAATCAGAATGCTATGGATGTCGCAAAAGATCATCTCAAATGATATTTCGGTACGGAAAACCCACAAATTGAACGTGCCCATCGAGACGGCCCCCAAAATAATGAAGGATTTGCCACGTCATCTTTTGGTAAAAATGCTGTCTTTATAAGACAATAGATTTGTCGTTTTCCAGCAGAGAAAAAATCTAGAAAGTTAGAAAATATACGTCATAGACGATATTGACAAATAAGGATAGAGAAGAGAAGAAGAAATGACTGAAGGAAGTCAATACTGCGTTTCTTTCCGGAACGCGTTATCATTTCTTTGCCGGAAAATGGCGTGAAGGGCGTGGCACATTATAGCACCATTCTACCCAGCCACTACCAGCGCTGAAGGGCGACACCTCCCTAGGGGAACTGTCGCTGATACTCGCGTCGACGCAGCTAGTTCCTGTGGCAACGGAAACGCCCACGCCCCGCCCCCAACCATAGATCGAGATGGCGTAAATGAAGTTTTCTTACGAGTAGTTGTGGAAGGATGTGAGGTGGCGTCTTGTGTTGCAGTTGATTCTGAAGAATAAATAAGATATAAAACACCTGATGATACTATCTGAGGGCAAAATACATTTATCTTATTAACCAAACTTTAACAATTATTACTGGACAAATCATCACATACTATTGAAGTCCTAGATTTTGACGTCTAAGCGGCTGCAGAGAACATTATTATGATGCTACATGTTGTAGCAAAGTGAAATTGAAAAAGAGAAAGAGAGAGAGAGACATGGAGAGACGGCAAGAAAACATTGGAGAGAGAGAGAAGGGAAGTAAGAAAACATGCAAAATAGAAATCGAGAGAGAAAGAAAAGACGAAGAAAGAGAGAGAGAGAGAGAGAGGGAGAGAGAGAGAGACACACAGAGAGTGAGGGATAATGAATAAAATGAGAAAATTGTAAATAGAAAGGTTGAGCATGGTGAGAGAGAGAGAGAAAAGAGAGAAAAGAGATAGAGAGAGAGAGGAGAGAGAGAGAGAGAGAGAGAGAGAGGGAGAGAAAGAGAGAAAGAGAGAGAGAGAGAGAGAGAGAGAGAGAGAGAGAGCGAGATGGTGTAAATGAAGTTTTCTTACGAGTAGTTGTGGTAGGATGTGAGGTGGCGGAATCCGTCGTGGACATCGTTGTGGCGTCTTGTGTTGTAGTTGATTCTAAAGAATAAATAAGATATAAAACACCTGATGATACTATCTAAGGGCAAAATACATTTATTTTGTTATTAACCAAACTTTTACAATTATTACTGGACAAATCACCACATACTATTGAAGTCCTAGCTTTTGACGTCTGAGCGGCTGCAGAGAGGAAGATGTTGCTTCACGTTGTAGCAAAATAAAAGTGAAAGAAAGAGAGAGAGAGAGAGAGAGAGAGAGAGAGAGACGGTGAGATGAAATTGGGGAGAGAGAGAGAGAGAGAGAGAGATGAAATTGGAGAGAGAAAAAGAGAGAGAAGGGACGTGAGAAACAATATACAATATAAATCGAGAGAGAAAGAAAATGTGAAGAGAAAGAGAGAGCGCGAGAGAGAGAGAGAGAGAGAGAGAGAGAGAGAGAGACGGTGAGATGAAATTGGAGAGAGAGAAAGAGAGAGAAGGGATGTGAGAAACAATATACAATATAAATCGAGAGAGAAAGAAAAGGTGAAGAGAAAGAGAGAGGGCGCGAGAAAGAGAGAGAGAGAAAGAAAGAGAAGGGACATGAGAAACAATATACAATATAAATCGAGAGAGAAAGAAAATGTGAAGAGAAAGAGAGAGCGCGAGAGAGAGAGAGAGAGAGAGAGAGAGAGAGAGAGACGGTGAGATGAAATTGGAGAGAGAGAAAGAGAGAGAAGGGATGTGAGAAACAATATACAATATAAATCGAGAGAGAAAGAAAAGGGGAAGAGAAAGAGAGAGCGCGCGCGCGAGAGAGAGAGAGAGAGAGAGAGAAAGAGAGAGATAGAGAGAGAGAGAGAGAGAGATTAAATTTTCTTACCAATAGTTGTGGAAGGATGTGAGGTTGCGGATTCCGTGGTGGCCGTCGTTGTGGTGTCTTGTGTTGTAGTTGATTCTGAAGAAAAATAAGATATACACACCTAAAGATACAATCTGAAGGCAAACAAAAAATTAAATTCATATTTACCCAACTTTAACAAAAATCTTACTGGACAAATCATCACATCATATTCAATTTCTAGCTTTTGACGCCTGAGCGGCTGCCGAGAACATTATTATTATGATGCTACACGTTGTAGCAAAGTGAAATTGAAATAGAGAAAGAAAGAGAAAGAGGCATGGAGAGACGTCAAGAAAACATTGGAGAGAGAGAAGGGAAGTAAGAAAATATGCGAAATAGAAATCGAGAGATAAAGAAAAGGCGAAGAGAGAGAGAGAGAGAGAGAGCGAGATGGTGTAAATGAAGTTTTCTAATACGAGTAGTTGTGGTAGGATGTGAGGTGGCGGAGTCCGTCGTGGACATCGTTGTGGCGTCTTGTGTTGTAGTTGATTCTGAAGAATAAATAAGATATAAAACACCTAATGATACTATCTGAGGGCAAAATACATTTATTTTCTTATTAACCAAACTTTAACAATTATTACTGGACAAATCATCACATACTATTGAAGTCCTAGATTTTGACGTCTAAGCGGCTGCAGAGAACATTATTATGATGCTACATGTTGTAGCAAAGTGAAATTGAAAAAGAGAAAGAGAGAGAGAGAGAGAGGCATGGAGAGACGGCAAGAAACATTGGAGAGAGAGAGAAGGGAAGTAAGAAAACATGCAAAATAGAAATCGAGAGAGAAAGAAAAGGTGAAGAGAGAGAGAGAGAGGGAGAGAGAGACACACACACAGAGGGTGAGGGATAATGACTAAAATGAGAAAATTGTAAATAGAAAGGTTGAAAATGGTGAGAGAGAGAGAAAAAAGAGAAGAGAGATAGAGAGAGAGGAGAGAGAGAGAGAGGGGGAGAGAAAGAGAGAAAGAGAAAGAGAGAGAGAGAGAGGGAGAGAGAGAGAGAGAGCGAGATGGTGTAAATGAAGTTTTCTTAATACGAGTAGTTGTCGAAGGATGTGAGGTGGCGGAGTCCGTCGTGGACATCGTTGTGGCGTCTTGTGTTGTAGTTGATTCTAAAGAATAAATAAGATATAAAACACCTGATGATACTATCTGAGGGCGAAATACATTTATTTTGTTATTAACCAAACTTTTACAATTATTACTGGACAAATCACCACATACTATTGAAGTCCTAGCTTTTGACGCCTGAGCGGCTGCCGAAAACATTATTATGATGCTACACGTTGTAGCATAGTGAAATTGAAATAGAGAAAGAGAGAGAGAGAGGGGTATGGAGAGGCGGCAAGAAAACATTGGAGAGAGAGAAGGGAAGTAAGAAAACATGCAAAATAGAAATCGAGAGAGAAAGAAAAGGCGAAGAGAGAGAGAGAGAGAGACAGACAGAAAGAGAGACACACAGAGAGTGAGGGATAATGACTAAAATGAGAAAATTGTAAATAGAAAGGTTGAACATGGGTGAGAGAGAGAAAGAAAAAGGAGAAGAGAGATAGAGAGAGAGAGAAAGAGACAGACAGAGAGAGAGAGAGAGAGACAGAGAGACACAGAGAGTGAGAGAGAGAGAAGGGAAGTAAGAAAACATGCAAAATAGAAATCGAGAGAGAAAGAAAAGGCGAAGAGAGACAGAGAGACACACAGAGAGTGAGGGATAATGACTAAAATGAGAAAATTGTAAATAGAAAGGTTGAACATGGGTGAGAGAGAGAAAGAAAAAGGAGAAGAGATAGAGAGAGAGAGAAAGAGACAGACAGAAAGAGAGACAGAGAGACAGAGAGAGAGAGAGAGAGAGAGACGGTGAGATGAAATTGGAAGAGAGAGAGAGAGAGAAGGGACGTGAGAAACAATATACAATAGAAATCGAGAGAGAAAGAAAAGGCGAAGAGAGACAGAGAGAGAGAGACAGAGAGACACACAGAGAGTGAGGGATAATGACTAAAATGAGAAAATTGTAAATAGAAAGGTTGAACATGGGTGAGAGAGAGAAAGAAAAAGGAGAAGAGATAGAGAGAGAGAGAAAGAGACAGACAGAAAGAGAGACAGAGAGACAGAGAGAGAGAGAGAGAGAGAGAGACGGTGAGATGAAATTGGAAGAGAGAATGAGAGAGAAGGGACATGAGAAACAATATACAATATAAATCATGAGAGAAAGAAAAGGTAAAGAGAAATAGAGAGGGGGCGAGAGAGAGAGAGAGAGAGAAAGAGAGAGAAGGGACATGAGAAACAATATAAATATAAATCGAGAGAAAAAAAAGGTGAAGAGAAAGAGAGAGCGCGCGCGAGAGGAAGAGAGAGAGAGAGAGATTAAATTTTCTTACGAGTAGTTGTGGTAGGATGTGAGGTGGCGGAGTTCGTGGTGGACATCGTTGTGGTGTCTTGTGTTGTAGTTGATTCTGAAGAATAAATAAGATATAAAACACCTGATGATACTATCTGAGGGCAAAATACATTTATTTTCTATATTAACCAAACTTTAACAATTATTACTGGACAAATCACCACATACTATTGAAGTCCTAGATTTTGACGTCTAAGCGGCTACAGAGAACATTATTATGATGCAACATGTTGTAGGAAAGTGAAATTGAAATAGAGAAAGAAAGAGAGAGAGAGAGAGGCATGGAGAGACGGCAAGAAAACATTGGAGAGAGAGAAGGGAAGTAAGAAAACATCCAAAATAGAAATCGAGAGAGATAGAGAGGGAGAGAGAGGAGAGAGAGCGAGAGGGAGAGACACAGAGAGACACACAGAGAGTGAGGGTTAATGACTTAAATGAGAAAATTGTAAATAGAAAGGTTGAACATGGTGAGAGAGTTCGAAAAAAGAGAAGAGAGATAGAGAGAGGAGAGAGAGAGAGATGGAGATAGAGAGAGAGAGAGAGAGAGATGGAGATAGAGAGAGAGAGAGAGAGAGAGAGAGAGAGAGAGCGAGATGGTGTAAATGAAGTTTTCTTACGAGTAGTTGTGGTAGGATGTGAGGTGGCGGAATCCGTCGTGGACATCGTTGTGGTGTCTTGTGTTGTAGTTGATTCTGAAGAAAAATAAGATATACACACCTAAAGATACAATCTGAAGGCAAACAAAAAATTAAATTCATATTTACCCAACTTTAACAAAAATCTTACTGGACAAATCATCACATCATATTCAATTTCTAGCTTTTGACGCCTGAGCGGCTGCCGAGAACATTATTATTATGATGCTACACGTTGTAGCAAAGTGAAATTGAAATAGAGAAAGAAAGAGAAAGAGGCATGGAGAGACGTCAAGAAAACATTGGAGAGAGAGAAGGGAAGTAAGAAAATATGCAAAATAGAAATCGAGAGATAAAGAAAAGGCGAAGAGAGAGAGAGAGAGAGAGAGCGAGATGGTGTAAATGAAGTTTTCTAATACGAGTAGTTGTGGTAGGATGTGAGGTGGCGGAGTCCGTCGTGGACATCGTTGTGGCGTCTTGTGTTGTAGTTGATTCTGAAGAATAAATAAGATATAAAACACCTAATGATACTATCTGAGGGCAAAATACATTTATTTTCTTATTAACCAAACTTTAACAATTATTACTGGACAAATCATCACATACTATTGAAGTCCTAGATTTTGACGTCTAAGCGGCTGCAGAGAACATTATTATGATGCTACATGTTGTAGCAAAGTGAAATTGAAAAAGAGAAAGAGAGAGAGAGAGAGAGGCATGGAGAGACGGCAAGAAACATTGGAGAGAGAGAGAAGGGAAGTAAGAAAACATGCAAAATAGAAATCGAGAGAGAAAGAAAAGGTGAAGAGAGAGAGAGAGAGGGAGAGAGAGACACACACACAGAGGGTGAGGGATAATGACTAAAATGAGAAAATTGTAAATAGAAAGGTTGAAAATGGTGAGAGAGAGAGAAAAAAGAGAAGAGAGATAGAGAGAGAGGAGAGAGAGAGAGAGGGGGAGAGAAAGAGAGAAAGAGAAAGAGAGAGAGAGAGAGAGAGAGAGAGAGAGAGAGAGAGAGAGCGAGATGGTGTAAATGAAGTTTTCTTACGAGTAGTTGTCGAAGGATGTGAGGTGGCGGAGTCCGTCGTGGACATCGTTGTGGCGTCTTGTGTTGTAGTTGATTCTAAAGAATAAATAAGATATAAAACACCTGATGATACTATCTGAGGGCGAAATACATTTATTTTGTTATTAACCAAACTTTTACAATTATTACTGGACAAATCACCACATACTATTGAAGTCCTAGCTTTTGACGCCTGAGCGGCTGCCGAAAACATTATTATGATGCTACACGTTGTAGCATAGTGAAATTGAAATAGAGAAAGAGAGAGAGAGAGGGTATGGAGAGGCGGCAAGAAAACATTGGAGAGAGAGAAGGGAAGTAAGAAAACATGCAAAATAGAAATCGAGAGAGAAAGAAAAGGCGAAGAGAGAGAGAGAGAGAGAGAGAGAGAGAGACAGAAAGAGAGACACACAGAGAGTGAGGGATAATGACTAAAATGAGAAAATTGTAAATAGAAAGGTTGAACATGGGTGAGAGAGAGAAAGAAAAAGGAGAAGAGAGATAGAGAGAGAGAGAGAAAGAGACAGACACAGAGAGAGAGAGACAGAGAGACACAGAGAGTGAGAGAGAGAGAAGGGAAGTAAGAAAACATGCAAAATAGAAATCGAGAGAGAAAGAAAAGGCGAAGAGAGACAGAGAGAGAGAGACAGAGAGACACACAGAGAGTGAGGGATAATGACTAAAATGAGAAAATTGTAAATAGAAAGGTTGAACATGGGTGAGAGAGAGAAAGAAAAAGGAGAAGAGATAGAGAGAGAGAGAAAGAGACAGACAGAAAGAGAGACAGAGAGACAGAGAGAGAGAGAGAGAGAGACGGTGAGATGAAATTGGAAGAGAGAATGAGAGAGAAGGGACATGAGAAACAATATACAATATAAATCATGAGAGAAAGAAAAGGTAAAGAGAAATAGAGAGGGGGCGAGAGAGAGAGAGAGAGAGAAAGAGAGAGAAGGGACATGAGAAACAATATAAATATAAATCGAGAGAAAAAAAAGGTGAAGAGAAAGAGAGAGCGCGCGCGAGAGGAAGAGAGAGAGAGAGAGATTAAATTTTCTTACGAGTAGTTGTGGTAGGATGTGAGGTGGCGGAGTTCGTGGTGGACATCGTTGTGGTGTCTTGTGTTGTAGTTGATTCTGAAGAATAAATAAGATATAAAACACCTGGGGCGGTATTCTGAACCCTGTGTTATCTCTAATATTGTTGTATCTTTGAAGATAAGATAAAGTTGGTATTCTGAACATTGTTGTAACTTTTGTGTTATCTTTTGTTGTATCTTTTCTCTCATCTTATTGGCCGCGCCTGCGCTCATACTTTGGTGCGCTTGTAATTGTGCGTATTATTAATAAAGTGGCATTTAATTCTCATTTGCATATGCGCACGGGAGATAATATGTCGAGATAATTGGTATTCTGAAAGTTGTTGTATCTTTTATCTTATCTTATCTTGCA